ACTAGAAATTCCATGTCTTTTGGGGATCTATGGTAACATAGATTGTATCATCTTACAGATCCCTGGTCTTTTTTCCTATCGCGATTGGTGGTTACAGATTGCACTAGCTAATGCTAAGGTAGCTTAAAGTGAAACACTAGACACAGTGTTTCTTTTAGGTTTTGTATGGAATGAAGTATGGTAAGACCCCCGCATGATTTCTATTGCTGTCTGTGTCCCTGTTGAGAAATTCTTACTTCAATTCTTTGCGGTCATATTGAGTAGAACCTCTCCAACAAGAACTCTGGCAGCAATAAAACACTTTTATTAGAGGGGTTAGGGTTACAGCCACTGTTGGATATTTAGTGCATTTTTCTGGTTGGGTTAATCCTCCCTTCACATTCTGTCCTGGTGACTATGCAGGAAGTGAGGTGAAAGCTATTTAACAGAACAATAGACAGTAAAAGCCTGGCAAGGCTACTAACACTGACCAAATTATCTAAAAAAAAAACTTGGACTTGGGTTTCACCTTAAATGCAATAGTTGATATGGGATAATTGTAGTGTAATGTTGCTGATTTAACTCTGCTACACACTAGGAGCAACCACAGTTTGAGATTCACTTTTGGACATCAAAGGCCAAAGACCATAGATAATAGAAGTGGTTTAGTGGAAATACACAGTGCATTCATAAAGTATTCAGACCCCCATTCACTTTTTTTCAATGTTGTTATGTTGCAACCTGATACTACAGTTGTATAAATTAATTTTGTTTTCTCATTAATCTACACTCTACACCCCATACTGTCAAAGTAAAAACAGAATTTTGAAATTTTTTGCAATTGTATGAAAAAGGAAAATATGAAATATCACATTGGCATAACTATTCAGACCTTATGGAACAATATTTCAAATTTAGCTCAGGTGTCTCCCATTTCTCTTTGATCGTTGCCGAGATGTTTCTACACCTTGATTGGAGTCCACATGTGGAATATTACATAAATTGATTGGATATCATTTGGAAAGGCACATATCTATCTATAAAAGGCCTCACGGTTGACAATGCATACTGTATCAGAGCAAAAGGCCATGAGGTCATAGGAATTGCCTGCGGAGCTCAGAGATAACATTATTGTAAGGCACAGATCTGGGGAAGGCTACAAAAAACCCTCAACTGCAGGTTCCCAAGAGCACAGTGACCGCCATAATTCTCAAATGGAAGAAGTCCGGCACAACCAATCCTGACCAAACTGAGCAATTGGGGGAGAAGAGTGACCCAATGGTCACTCTGACTGAGCTCCAGAGATCCTGTGTGGAGAGGGGACAAAGTTCCAGAAGGACAACCATCACTGCAGCCCTCCACTGATCTGGGGTTTATGGTATTGTGGCTTCTCTGTGTAAAACACATGAAAGCTCGCTTGGAGTTTTCAAAAAAAGCATGTGAAGAACTCTTAGACTGTGAGGAACAAGATTCTCTGGGCTGATGAAACCAAGGTTGAACTGTTTGGCCTCAATTCTAAATGTTATGTCTGGAGGAAACCTGCCTAATACCACCCCAACGGCGAAGCATGGTGGTGGCAGCATCATGCTAGTGGGGTGTTTTTTTTAGCAGCAGGGACTGGGAGACTGGTCAGGGTTGAGGGGAAGCTGAATGGAGAAAAGAACTGAGATATCCTCAATGAAAATTTGTTCTACAGTGCTCAGGAACTCAGACTCTTAGCCAAAGGTTCACCTTTCAACATGACAACTATACTAAGCACACTTCCAAAACAACACAGGAGTGGCTTAGGGACAACTCTGTGAATGTCCTAGAGTGGCCCAGCCAGAGCCCTGACTAAACCCTATGAACATCTCTGAACATCTATTGATTGAGCTTGAGAGAATTTGCAAAGAAGAATAGCAGAAAATCCCCCAATCCAGGTGTGCAAAACTGGTCACGTTACATCCAAAAAGACTTGGGAATGTAATTACTGCCAAAGGTGCTTCAACAACGTACTGAGTAAAGGGTCTGAACACTTAAGTACATGTGATATTGCAGTTTTTCCTTTTTAATAAATTCACAGACATTTCTAAAATTCTGTTTTCACTTTGCCATTATGGGGTACTGAGTGTAGATGACTGAGAAAAAAATGAATATACACAACTGTAGTATCAGGCTGCAACATTACAGAATTGAAAAACGTGAATGCACTGCATGCACAGTATTTCCAGTTTGAGATTTGCATGATAAACTATAGATTGAAATTTATCATGTTAAGCCACTACATTCCATATATTTTACACATGCTTCACAAACTCATGTCTAGAAGTAGATATAGACAAAGGGGGGGGCTCAGCTGAGGTAGCAGCTTATTCAATTCCCAACCCTTCAGGCTACATTGATAAGTATTGCAATAGGTTTAGAGAAGCCACCCTACGTGCATTGTATGGACCTGTTTGGTATAGAAGATTCTGTTATTAGCTGAAGGTGGGATAGGCTTCCCTGAAGAGAGAAGTTTTCAGAGATCGCCTAAAAGTGGGCAGAGTAGGCGATAGTTGGATAGATTGTAGTAGAGCGTTCCAGAGGATGGGGGAGGCTCTGGAGAAGTCCTGGAGACAAGCATGGGAGGAGGAGACAAGGGAGCTAGAGAGCAGGAGGTCGTGGGAGGAGCAGAGAAGACAATTTGGGTGATATTTGTGTGCTAGTTTGTGTGCTAGAACATTTCATCAGGCATACTACTTCTTATCTACAGATGCCCAGTCTGCCAAGAGACTCAATGACTATTTTAGAATAACTTTGACACATTTCATGGGGTGTCAATCACAGATGCTATGTCTTATGCAGTGCACATGACTTCCAGATTCAATTTCATTTGGATGAGTTACTGCAGAGCTTGACCCTTCTGCAAACCGAATCCCACCTAGGACTTGAGAAGTGCAGCTAACAGTGGACTGTCAGTTGATGCATTGCTCCCTATGTTTGAATGCATTATTGTTTCACAGTAAATACAGCTGGAATGCTGTGTTCCATACAGTGTTGCCAACCTCCTGCAGCATTTTTTATTGACAAAACATGGAAAATGTACCGATGGAGCACATTTTTTACTGACAACCTGAAAAATGACATTAAAAACTAAGACAAGTACCGTATTTTTTGCTCCATAAGACGCACTTTTTTCCCCCCAAAAAAGGGGGGAAAATGTCAGTGCGTCTTATGGAGCGAATGTAAAGTGGCCGGTCCGGTATTTCTGCCGCCACCATGTCAGAATATCGCTCAGCTCTTTTCTCGTGCAGGACCTTACCCATTCCTTGCACCAGCGCTGCGGCTTCTGTGACAGCCGGGTGCCCACTGCTCATGCACGAGAAGCGCTGTGCTTTGTGAATGGTCCGGCGTCTGCTGGGACACATGACAGGTCTTAGAAGGCCCCCAGGCCATTCACAAAGCGCAGCGCTTCTCGCGCATGTGCAGTGGGCACCCAGCTGTCACAGAAGCCGGCGCGGGAAGAAGGAAGGACAACTCTGGGGAAGTGGGAGTGGGTACCTGTCAAATTCAGGTACCCGCTCCCCCTCCCTCCCCCCAAAGGTCCGCAGTCTCTGGTCATCTCCTGTACTGTCCGCAGTCTCTGGTCATCTCTTGTACTGTCCGCAGTCTCTGGTCATCTCCTGTACTGTCCGCAGTCTCTGGTCATCTCCTGTACTGTCCGCAGTCTCTGGTCATCCCCTGTACTGTCTGCAGTCTCTGGTCATCCCCTGTACTGTCTGCAGTCTCTGGTCATCCCCTGTACTGTCTGCAGTCTCTGGTCATCCCCTGTACTGTCTGCAGTCTCTGGTCATCCCCTGTACTGTCTGCAGTCTCTGGTCATCCCCTGTACTGTCTGCAGTCTCTGGTCATCCCCTGTACTGTCTGCAGTCTCTGGTCATCTCCTGTACTGTCTGCAGTATCCGGTCATCTGTACTATGTCCGCAGTCTCTGGTCATCCCCTGTACTGTGTCCGCAGTCTCTGGTCATCCCCTGTACTGTGTCCGCAGTCTCTGGTCATCCCCTGTACTGTGTCCGCAGTCTCTGGTCATCCCCTGTACTGTGTCCGCAGTCTCTGGTCATCCCCTGTACTGTGTCCGCAGTCTCTGGTCATCCCCTGTACTGTGTCCGCAGTCTCTGGTCATCCCCTGTACTGTGTCGGCAGTCTCTGGTCATCCCCTGTACTGCGTCTGCAGTCTCTGGTCATCCCCTGTACTGCGTCCGCAGTCTCTGGTCATCCCCTGTACTGCGTCCACAGTCTCTGGTCATCCCCTGTACTGTGTCCACAGTCTCTGGTCATCCCCTATACTGTGTCCGCAGTCTCTGGTCATCTCCTATACTGTGTCCGCAGTCTCTGGTCATCTCCTGTACTGTGTCCGCAGTCTCTGGTCATTTCCTGTACTGTGTCCGCAGTCTCTGGTCATCTCCTGTACTGTGTCCGCAGTCTCTGGTCATCTCCTGTACTGTGTCCGCATTTTCTGGTCATCTCCTTTACTATATCCGCAGTCTCTGGTCATCCCCTGCTGTCAGCTGACATCACTCAGCTGGTCCAGCCTGAGAAAGATCCCGACTTTAACCACTACCCTACCAGGCACTTATACCCTCTTCCTGTCCAGGCCAATTTTCAGCTTTCAGCGCTGTCACAATTTGAAAGACAATTGTGCGGTCATGCAACACTGTACTTTTTATCATTTTTTTTGAGACAGATAGAGCTTTCTTTTGGTGGTATATGATCACCTCTGGGTTTTTTATTGTTTGCTAAACAAACCAAAAACCACAGAAATTTTTGGAAAAAAACAAAACGTTTTTCTCTTAGTTTTTGTTATAAAATTGTGTAAATAAGTGATTTTTCTCCTTCACTGATGTGTGCTAATGAGGCTGCAGAGATGGGCACTGATGGGCTGCACTGATGGACACTGATAGGTGGCACTGATGGGCACTGATGAGTAGGCACTGGTAGGTGGCACTGATGGGCATTGACAGGCATCACTGATGGGCACTGAAAGGCAGCCCTCATATATGGCACTGATAGGTGGCATTGATAGGCAGCACTGACTGGCACTGATAGGTGGCACTGACTGGCACGGATAGGTGGCACTGACTGGCAGTGTTAGGCGGCACTGATAGGCAGCACTGAGGGGCACTGATAGGCGGCACTGATTGGCAGCACTGTTAGGTGGCACTGACTGGCATTGATAGGCGGCACTGACTGGCACTGATAGGTGACACTGAAAGGTAACTCAGATGGGCACTGATATGTGGCATTGATGTGGCACTGATGGGCACTGGCAGGTAACATGGATGAGCACTGACAGCTGGCACTGATGGACACTAACAGGTGGCACTGCTGGGGCTACACTGATCATCAGGGCACACTGATCATCAGTGCTCTGATGATCAGTGCACATGTCCCCTCTGAGGAATGTCGATTACTGGCTCTCCTCTCCTCTCGAGCTGTCAGCGTGATTTGCGTGTGATTAGCTGTGATTGGACACAGCTGATCACTGACCGAGCCAACATCTTTGGCTCTTTCCGTTGATCGGTGATCCGCTGTGTACGAGGGACACAGCGCACCACTGATCGCCGCGCTGCACACCCCTGGAGCCGTGCATGCCCGGTTAGAATGGGAGGACGCTGTATGACATCCTCCCAGAACGAGAGAACCGCCTTGCACCCGCCATTACCTTATATGGCGGGAGGGAGGAGGTTAAAGTTGGGATCCACCCCAGAGTCTGGAGCAGCACCTGGCCTAGCCTCTCAGCGATGTGCTGAGAATTTGGGCCAGCCGCTTCCTCCCCCTCCACAGCTCAGCACCAGTGAGCAAGTCAGGGTTGGATGGCAGAGCAGAGAGCAGTGACTGACAGTCCCACTCTCTGCTCAGAGTGGTCTTGAGAACTTGGTCATGTGATCGCTGAGTTCTCACAGTTGGCGGGGGATAGAGGCAGCATCAGACCAATGCTCCATCCACCTAGGTAAGCATAACTGGGCAAAAAAAAGGCCATACTTCTTTTTTTAAGTAATGTGTATTGTATCATCCACTTATACAGGAGCAGTAAGGTGTACTGTAGAGGATCTCAGACTGGTGCCTGTGCAGTGTGCTCTGGATTGCAAATACTGTACATGTTACGCACAAGATCTAGTTTACTGTGTTCTTCTGTTCACATTAAGTGAAGCTCTGTGTATTAGTTTAGATGTATGCTAAATATCAAGAACTGTTCAGTGAATGTTACTCCAGTGGTGTCCTGACTCCTCCCACAGACCAGTGTAAAGAAAAAAAAAGATCAAGGGTGGTTATGAAACATTTTTTCTTTCCATTTTTAACGTACAAAATATAATAATAAAATAAATGTTAAAATCACTGATCCGTTGCACTTTGCCCACAGCGCAGTGTACCCATGATCTTCCTTTTGGTCTGAAGCACGCTAAAACCGCAAGACATACTAAAAGTCTATGGGAAAGTGCAGCTAATCCTTATGAAACTACATTGAGCTACACTCGTGCCACAGCCAAAGCACAGCGCAGCAGTGTGAAAGTGACCTAAGTTGTACGGCATGCAAAGGGAAGGTATAAATAAATTGCTGCTAACTCGAATTTTGCTTTAACCTTGTCAGTGGCGGAACTACCAGGGTCACAAAGGTCACAATTGCAACTAGGCCCTTGTGTTCCGCCACTGTAGGGGGCCCCAATCAATGTTGCCAGTAAAAAAAGGGCACATTTCTGCTGTCCGTAAACAGTAGAAAAGTGCCCATTAAAAATACACTTGTCCCCGAACTTCCTCTCTCCCCATGCCACCTCCTTCCGCACCTGACCAGCAAAAATTACCTTTTTGCTATTGCCTAAGAAAAAATGCAAAAGAACTCATGCATGCTTTTGTTAATGTTAACAGATGATACACCCGAGGGATCTGTCATAAAGGTCAAAAACAAAAGATTCAGTTGATCAGAGAGTATATCAAGGTACAAGCAAAGGCAAGCTGATGAAATGAACAGCTGCAGTACAGGGCCCGAGGGCTGGGTGCTCCTAATATGCACACAGCACATGCAAAACAAGTCTTCTGCATAGAGCCTTGCCAATATAATCAGTTATTATTGTTCAGTGCAAATAAATAAAAATGTAAAAACTATACATAGATTGTAAAAATAGTTATAATCTGAAATAGTGATGAATAGATAGGCACTGTTTTTTCAAATAGGGTAAGTAGCATAAAGTGTAAGTATGCACCCTACACTCCCCCTATAACAGCTAAATGATGAGTTTTGTGGATGAATACTAATAAATAAATATCAAACATAAATGAATTAAACATAGAAAGTGATTGAATATTACCAATTTTATAAAACGTCCTTATGCTTCCACCAAGTGCTGCATGAATTCAAATTGTGACAGTCCTTTGATTTCAAAATTTGGTGACATAGAAATCCATTTTTCCACACCTCAGTGCAATAGGCAAATGAACGGATCACTCACCAGACCTATATGACCCACATTACAGTGGTCATATATTGCATTGTGTGTTATAAATCTCTGAAGGTTCCTCCCCGTATGATCACCAACACCCGCACTTCCAGGTTGAATAGCCAGAGGGACTGATGTATAATTTCCAATAAATTCCCCAAACTATAGATGAAGGGATTCAAATAGATAATCCTGGCTTTCTATGCCATAATCAAAAAAACCACAACAGTAATGACAATCTAAGTGTAGCATTTAATATGCCAAGAGTAAGAATAGTAGTAACAAACTCAATGCACTCACATGAGAAGGTGCCTAGAAAGCTGGCACCAGCAGGCATTGCTTGTATATTTTAGATCAAAGTTGGCCAACGTGCGTTCCAAGCCTCTGTCTCGGCCAGACGTGATGTCTCCGGAGTCCGGATATCTGAAATGGCTATAAACAGAATAAAATAACAATAAAACTACTGCACAATTCATAGAAAACTTCTGACATTGAAAAGTAAACCCCTTCTTTACGTAACACTAAATTCTGTATTAAAAATTCTGTTCAAGTAAGTACTTTTAACTCTTTTATTAAATTAGGTTTAACTAGCCTTCTATTGCATCCAGCCTCCTTCAAATGTCCAGATACTTTTTTTTTGTTGCTATGATTTTATGACTATAAAATTTGTAGTATGCTTAGAGCAGTGCACATGATTGCAAATGTGCACTGCTCATCCCAAACAAAGCAAGGGAAAAGGAGGGGGGGAAAGGAGTTTCTAGAGTTCATGGAGGCAGTTATAGGGAGGCAAAAAACAGTAAGAAATTATTTCATGAAAAATAGATTACAGGGCCATTAAGTTGTGGATGTATGTGAATTATCATTTGGAGAATACGTATATCTTTTAGTGTTGGAGTGCTACTCCCAGAGGAGCCGTTGAATTGTCTTGTGATTCCACTGCACACCTGAAGATGGCACACCTCGCTCACCCAGCACTCACTGACACACCATGAGATAATTAGACGGCCAAGTGTAGCCTAAATGAAGAGAGCTGAATTGCATTTACCTAACAGTATCAAAAGACTGCCCTAGCTAGCTGTAACAGTTTAAGTTTTATCCCACTGGCCAGTTATTGATGAAAAAAAAATGTTAGGCAGCAAAGTTGGGGCCCTTGATATAAAAGCACAACAGTTCCCAGCAGACAATAGATCAAATTGTGCATGTCAGTCTCTTACTTCACCCAGGATACCCTCTTCTGGGTTTCTGGGCACGTGCTCTGATTCAATTCAAGTCCTCAGATGGGGATAGAAACTTCTGTGATGTCTCTCCTGCTGAGACATTCCCTATTTTCCTTCATTACAAGCGGTAGGAGTGCTCTCTAGTACAGACTAATCTAACCAGGCATCCAAATCACACCTCACAGTGTCGTAAGAAGAAAGTTCCTGGTGTTTGAGGCAAGGTCCTGTGCAATGGGCAGTCTCTATGCTTCTCTGAGGTCCCACCCGATTGTGGACAGCTGTGGCAGGGTTCCATTCAGCCAACAGCTCAGTATTTTCCAATACTCCAAACACTCTTAGCAGACTGCAGATGCATCTCTTCTTTTGCTTCCTCTGTGTAATAAGGGACTGAGATTGAGCTCTGCAGTCCCTTCTGCAACAGTCGTTTTCATATTCTGGGTCACAATCCTGCGCAATATCCTTTTGTCTCTTTCGGTCAGTTGTCCAAGTCAAACCGCGCTTATCAGAAATTTTTTTACAGAAAATTGTATATGCCGTCATAACCTTTGATGCTGTACCTCGCGGCACGGCAATTAAATTGGCAACTTCAATCACAGAGGCACCAGCTAATCAACAAATGTACCCTCTGTGAAGCTTAGTAAGCTCTGACAGGTTACATCCCCTCCGCTTTCAATGCAAACCTTGTCATCACTTTCACACCTGCAAATCATGTAGCATTTCCATTTTTTTGTCCAACCCTGTAAATGTACACACAATAGTTTACATCTTCATGCCTATAGACCAACGTGAAGCTTTCATCCAAATCCACCTGAAAACCTGACAGGCAGATCTGATCAGAACACAGTGTATGTTTTAATTGCAGTCTGTGCCCCCCTCTGTTTGTTCTGCTTAGCATTATCATCAAAAGTGAAAATAAAAGAAATCCCCAAATTTTGGGTTGTCCCCAGAAAAGTATTGGAAATTTTCCAATGGGAACACTAGTTGTAGTGACCTGGGGGTCCCCAAGGAATTCAGTTAATTTGCACGGTTTTTCCCTCACTTCATATTTTGGCTATGGGGCAGGAGCAAGTGAAGGTAAAATGGGACAACAATAGCAAAAATAAACTGGCAGGGGTTATAACCCTCTCTTAGTTTATGTTCACACTTATGCGTTTTCTGTTGTGTTTTGCAGAAATGCACAGCAGTCCATTTAACATGATTTCCTATGGGACACGTTCACATCTCTGCGTTTTTACCCGGTATGTTTTTTGGAAAGGGTCAGGGACTTTTTTAAAAACGCAAAACTTTGCATTTTTGGTTCAATAGACTTCAATAGAGACACTGCAGAAATACATGTAGTGCGTTTTTGACGCATTTTTGATGCATGTTGTGTTTTGCGGTTTAATCTGTCCAGAAAAACAAACACAGAATGCATCTAAAACGTGTAAAACGCATGTGCAAAAACTCAAAACGCACTGCAAAAAGCACTGCAGAAACGGATCAAACGCAAACTCCATAGGTGTGAACCTAGTCTTACTCTATCCAAAATGAAAAAAATTTTTTTTTACTATAGTTCTGCTTTAATTGAATTATAATGAATTTTTATAGGGCTCTGATAGACAAACATATTATGTGTAAAAGAACAAGTAACATTTACATTCCTTCTTTATTATTTATACC